GGTAGCTTCCCTTCCTAGATAGGGCATCAGTAGCCTTATTTTCCAATCCCGACTTGTACTTGATAATGAAGTTGTAGCCTAAAAGCTTGGTAATCCATTTATGTTGTTCCTCACCCATTATTCTTTGCTCTATCAAGAATCTAAGACTTTATTGGTCCGTATGAACCTCAAAACTTTGCCCAACAAGTATGGTCTTCATTTTTGCACTGATATTACCATAGCCACCAATTCCCTTTCATATTACGGATTTATTTTGGTTTCGGGCTAAAAGTACTTTACTCATGAATGATATCAGTATGCCTCCTTGTATTAAAATAGTTCCAAGACCTTGCCCTGAAGCATCTGTTTCTATTATAAAAGGTTTGTAAAAGTCGGGTTTAGCTAGCACTCGCAGTGAATTCATTGTGTTCATTAATTCTTCAAAGGCTTTGGTGGCATCCATGGACCATCTGAACCCCTCCTTTTTCAGCAACTCAGTGAGAGGCTTGGCTATTCTACTATATCCTTTCACGAACGTTCTATAATAGCCCGTCAATCCAACATATCTTGTACCTTACTAGGGTCAGTAGATATTACTTGGCCTGAGATGTCATGCCCTAAGTAACCCAGCTGGTTCTGCCCAAATTTACACTTCTTCCTATTGATCACCAATTGATTATATTGAAGAAGTTGTAGTACTGCCCATAAATGCCCTTTGTGCTCCTCCAGATTTCTGTTGTAAATCAAGATATCATCAAAAAACACCAACACAAACTTCCTCAAATAGGGTTTCAAGATCTGATTCATCAATGCCTGAAAGGTAGGCAGTGCATTAGTCAACCCAAAGGGCATCACCATGTACTCGTAATGCCCTTCATGTGTTCTTATAGCGGTCTTAAGTATGTCAGATTCCTTCGTCCTTATCTGGTGATACCCAGATTTTAAGTCCAGCTTAGAAAAAAGTCTGCTTTGCCCAGTTCATCCAACAATTCTTCGATCACCGGTATTGGGAATTTATCAGGTACCGTGATCTTATTTAGAGCCCGGTAATCCCCATATATCTTCCATCCCCATTCTTTCTTTTTCACCATGAGTACTGGACTGTTGTAAGTGCTAGTGCTTGGTCTAATAATTCCAATATTCAACATTTCATGCACCAACTTTTCTATTTCATTATTTTGATAATGTGAATACTTGTATGGTCTTGCATTCGGAATAGGAACTCCTTCCTGTATGTTTACGGCATTGTCACATGATCGTTTGGGAGGTAAAGTCGTAGGTGTGTTGTAAACCCTTGGGAATTCTGCTAGCAACTCTTCCCACTCTTTCCATGGGTCTTCCTCCTTGTCTATTTTTTCAATCTTCTGGCAGTAGATGTAGTAGCCCTCGTCATGATCCCGTGATGAATTCTTGATTGTTTTCAAAGAAACCAAAGTTTGATTCAATTCTACACCCCCTTTTAGACACTTCTCGTGCCCACCTTCCATCCAACTAATGGATAAGTCTTGAAAGTTGACCTTTATCTCTCCCAGCGTTGCGAGCCATTCCACACCAAGTACCAGATCAGTTCCACCAAGGTCGTCTAACAGATAGAAGTCTTGATTAATTTCCATGCCTTGCACCCATATTTGGAGCTGTTCACCTTCCCCTGCATTGGTTATAGAATTCCTATTCCCCCGTTCAACTTGAAATCTTGTATTGGCATTATAGTTCAGGCCTAGCTCCTTTACAAGTGTTTGAGAAATAAAATTATTGGTGGCTCCGGAGTCAATGAGTACTAACACAGTTCTGTTCCCCTTCACCCCATTTACATTCCCTTTAATCTTGAACGTATTTTGAGTATTTATTCCCTCCTTGCTCAAAATGGACAGATGCATCATGGTTGCATCTTCATTGCCCTCTACTTCTTCAGTTTCTGGACTAGGATCTTCCTCTATGTCAAATGCATCTGATTCTTCCATCAATTTCAGCTTGTAATTTTTTAGCTTGCACACGTGCTCCTTATTCCATTTATCCCTACATTTGAAACACAATCCACGCCTAATTATGTCCTCGAATTCAGCTTGAGATAACCGCGGTCCTTCTTTCCAATTTTTATTGGATCCCGTTGACCCTTCTGTTTTGTTGTCAAGTCCTTTTACCAACAAAGGAACCTTAGTTGGAAAAACCCTCTTCTCGTGTTCAGTTGCTCCATAGTAAAATTTAGATGAATGGCCGGACCCCTTTGTCCTTCCATCCACGCTTATCAATCTCCCTATTCTTATCCTTCTTCCGTGCCATATACTTTTCTTCTACCAGCAAGGCCTTATCCACAAGATAAGTCAATCCCTTTCATTTGTATAGCTTCAATTCTACCTTCAGTCCATCCTTCAGCCCATTAAGAAATACCCCTTTCAAGACTTCTGGATCAGTGTTTCATAGATGTGAAACCACCAACTCAAACAGATCCTTGTACACCATTACTAACCCGGTGTGTTTAATGTTGAGCCAAAGGGATTCTGGACCAGGTCCGGTTGAAATCTACGAATCGGAGCCCCTTTGAAGTTCTCCTAGGAATGATCAATGGTATTTTCATCCCACCACTGATACTAGTTGAACGCCTTATCCACCATGGCTATCAGAACTATTTCCACCTTATCTGCCTCATTCACCCGGTTCAACTTAATTTACCGTTCTACCTTGATAATCCACCCGTAGGCATCGTTTCTACTAAACAGTGGTAAATCCACCTACCGACTCGTATATATGCGGTCATTGGTTCCCGCCGGGTCAGATGCGACTGAAACAGATCTGGAGTCGATGGACATACCTCTGGAATGAGAAGAACTCTCGTTGTTTGTTGAAGCCCGATGACGAGTAGTCCGCGATCGCCCCCTCGATTTTTCTGCTCGTGACGAATATTGAGATTTCCGATCGCCGCCAACATGGTGTTCATTCGTGCATCCATATCGGCTCGCATCTCACTGAATGATCGCTCCATGTTGTCCATTCTATTCTCCGTGTTTGATCTCGTAAACACCATCCACAGTTCCACGATCAGTGCTTTGATACCTGTTGATACGTACTAGCTCACAGCACCAGGAATATAGTGTATATTAATCATAAAAAACACCATTACAATATTTGGGAGTTCTTAGGAGAATAAAAAAAGAACGATAGGTGAGACACTTCGAGCGGTCTCTCTCTCCTAAGCCAAGAGAATTCCAGCCTGCCTAGTACTTGCTTCCCACGCTCATTTTATTCTCTTTTCTGTCTGACACAACCCTCAGCCAGTTAGTTTCTCCTACCACTTCCTTGCCTTATTATTAATTTACTTTTTTGCCCCTTCTTATGTAAACCTTAGAGAAATCCCCATTGGGATTTATTCTTAAAGTGTTGGGGTTCTCAACATGGGTCTTGCTACTCATATGCGAGGATATGGTGAAAAGTGAAATTTTAAAATACATTTTATTAATCAAATAAAGAATAAATATATGAAAAAATAAAAAATAGCTAAAATGATCTACTATAGTAACCTAAGTCATTTTAGCTAAAAAAACTTTAATCTTACTTATTTTGATTATTATCCGACCCCCCTTACCCTACCGTAGGTGGGAGCCTTTGCGACACTGGGGTAAATGAAAATGAAAATGAAATGACGGCTAATAAGTTAAATATAGACGTTACCAAACATATACACTCTAAGAAATTTATCAACATCGATATAAAAGTTTATGGATTTATTCTAGTCAATAGAAGTTATTCATTCAAAAGTCATTCATATTAAAATCTTCAAACTTAAGTCTTTAGATATAAAAGTCAACGAATTAAAAATCTATGAAATTAAAGTCTATGAACTTCTTTAAAAATTTGTGGATAAACAATATCCACAATACGTAATACATGCCTATTAATATCAAATTTCAAAATATGATTTTTATAACTTTTACTTAGAGATCAGACTGTTACTCATTGGGATCAAAATTTACATGTCTCATTTCATATGTTTCATGATTTAGTTATACTTGAGCTTGATTAAAACTATAGTTTTTTCCATTTTCACTCCCTCAACTATTGGGTCAGTGACACTTTTGGTACTCGACTTTCAATTTTTCCATTTTTAATCCTCGACTATTGTGCGAGAGATATTTTTAGTCCTTGACTTCAAAATATTAAAATAGGTTTTTAATATATTTTATTTATTAAAATAAGAAAAACTCATGAAAAATAGGTAAAATGGCGTTTTACAATAACATAAGTCAATTTAGTCAGAAAAGTAACTTCAATTTTAGTTAATTTGATTATTACATAATTCAGAGTGCACAATCAAGAATTACATATTTGGTACAAAGAAAATTTCTATTCGTACCACACATTTGTACGTAAATATTTGTGCACATAGACAATGTATACACCCCTTAGTTGCTTGTGTACCCGGGCACGACTGGTGCAGGCAAACAGAAAATTACGTATAAATGTGTGCGAAATGTGTATAAATTTTGTGTATAACAAAATTGTTGTTGGGTCGAATATTGGCTTATGATCAGCTTAGAGTTAATAAACCAGTAGTTATACCGTGGGATCATCCCACGGTGAACATCCTACTCCCACATATAAAATGGTGTCGTTTAGGTTTAATTTAACAAAATTCGCGTGAACAGTACTTTTATTTTTGTCTAATTTTTTTCATGGTGTAAATCTTTTGTATTGATATTTAACTCGCGTTATTGGAAAATGTAAATCCAGTGTTTTCAAATGTAACTCATGCGCTGGAGTATGTGACTTGTTTTACTCATTTTTTTGAAAGAGTACCTTGTTTTACTCTCTCAACTTGTTATACCACTTGAAATATAGTTTTATAAAATTATTTTTATAAAAATCAATCTATATTTTTTATTTTTATAAAATGAATTTTTATAAAAATAATTTTTCTTTGAATAGAAGGAGCTTATTTTGTTGTGTAACTCGCATTATATTGTGGTGTAACTCGCATTATGAAAAATGTAAAACACGTGTAAGTGTGATGTAACTTGCTGAGAAAAGTTGACATGTAACTCACATTCATAGATATGTAACTTGAGATAAATGGAAATGTAAACCCTTTTAATAAAAATGTAACTTTTCTTAGATACCCATGGATGACCATCCGCTGCATAAACTTGAACAAAAAAAATTGAACAAATCTGATATCTCAATCTACTTTTGAAGAAAACTAGCCCTGCCCAAAAGAAGAGAACTACAGAGCATTCTTCACAAAAAGAGAACTACAGATCAGAGCACTTGAGATGGGCGAGCAAAATAGAGGTGACCGGATTGGAGCTCTTCTTCGACGCTGATGGTGGAAACATCGTCGGAGTTGTTGGTCAGTCACTGCCTTTCTGGTTGCACGCAGCACTCGGACGGCGCACGACGGTAAAGAGTGTTTTGGTTTCTGGCTTTCTGCTCTAATTGCTCTTCCACGGTAAACTGAGAGGCGTGAGAGCTACTCTTCGGTGATAAGTTGAGGCCTGAGATTCTGAGAACTGCTGGTCTGCTTTCTAAGTCACGGCTAAGTGGTTAGCGATGGCCAGGAATGAAAGGAAGAGGAGAAGCCATCTAAGTGAATGATTTCGCTCTGATTCGGAATTGGATAGGGTACGACTTTGCGAATCAGAAGAAGGCGAGAGACTTTTATTAATAGAAACGACATCGTTTGGGATCGGCACACCATGCACATGGTGGCCCGATCCCACGGTATAATCTGCGTTAATAAACGGCTCCTAAATATTTTACTTCGTATGAAGTTAAGGTATTGGGTTGAAAGTTAATTAATTAAACTAAGATGGAAGAGATTCAGAGGGAATCAGAGAGCAATAGGCCAGCTAAAGAAAATCACGGTTCAGTTTAGCGCCTAAACATTTAAATAATCACTTGCATAATTGTTGCCTGAATCCGAATTTGCCATTCTTGAGATCATACTCCACGTAGAAATTCTGCATCTGGAAATTCCCCAAAATGATCGAAGGCCCGACCGCTGACCCGTTTCCGGAGTTATCGGTCACCATAGTCAGGCAAACGGTGTCAGTCGCAACGATGGAGAAATAATTTCCCAAAGGCAGATCCATTTCTGCCCGTCCCTTGAAATGGAACTTCATCGCCGGCAGGTCCACCGTCTTGTGGCCGGAGATATTGAAGCACGGCCTCAATCCGGTCAACTCCTCCAGTTTTCCGGCCCGGGGGTAGGTCTTCTTCACTTCGTTGACCAACGCACCCTGCACGGCCTCGAACACGTCGTGGGTCAAGAACGTGAATGTTGACCCGGAATCCACAATCGTCCCTCCGTTTCCCCGTAAATCCGGCGAGATATGCTTGTGTGGGATCTTCACTTTTACCCCTCCGATGCTGATCTTCCTCAGGCTAACGTAGTAGTACACGGAAAGCGGATCTCTTCCGGCCACCTGAGGATTCTTCACAAATGGTGTCCGGCTAAGGTTTCTGGTCCGCTGTCCGGCGACGGAGCCGCTCTCCATCACCAGCGAGCTGCTTTTCCCGGTGTCGTGGAATCTGTGCGGGACAAGACAGTAAGAAAATCTGGTGAGCCCCAATTGGGTCGGGAGGGAGGTCGGGCCGCGGCCGAACCCCGCGATCCCGGCCGGCTGCCTGGCCGAGAAAACAGAGCATCCCACCAGAAAGTTGGGAACTTTCTTTCCGGGTAAGGTGAGGGACTCAACGAGAGCAAGACCTCCGGTGGATCCAGAGTCGTAGAGGATGATGTACGACGGGCAGATCTGGTTGCAGTTGGTGAACGGCGGATGGCAGTCTTTACAGCGGCTCTCCGGCGTGGTCCTCAGGTGAATCAACCCACATTTGGGATTGGCGCATCCAAGAATCCTAGCAGAGGAAGAGGACTTTGGAAGGAAAGGGGTGACACCACCCTTTGGCATGCCTTTGAAATTGCAGTTTTTGCATTGGTAGGTTTTAGTGCAAGGGAACCAAACAAGGCTGCTTCCAGTGTCCATGATGAAGGGCTTGGTTTGGGGAGGAGTCCCAAAGCTGAGGGGAATCGAGTAACCTCCATAGCCTTGAGGATACACTGGGATTCTACTGTGGTTTGAGGAGGGATTCTTGATGTGTTTGGCTCTGTTTAGGGAAAGAGTGGCCAAATGAGTGAGTTTTTCTGTAAGATCTGGGGTTGGGGTTGGGGTTGGGGTTGGGTCGAGGGATGAAAGGGGTAGAATGAATGTGTTTGAGGAAGAGGATGAAGCAGTTGATAGGAGTGGAAAGCTAACTGATAGAGAAGAGAGGAGAAAGGAGATGAAGAAACAGCTAAAAGATGCCATTGTGATGTTTCAGGGGTTGTGTCTTGGTTGTGACATGACCCTTTAAATATACTTGTAAGATTGAAGCACAGTTGAGATTTATATAGGGATAGGGATCTATACTTTGTTATCAAAGAATGGAAAGTGAATGAAAGTTGCATACTACATGCAAAAAAAACTACTACCTCAATCCCGGAATTATCTCATTATTTGACTGAACACGGGTTTTAAGATAGTGGGAAATGTGTGGTAGAGAGTTGTGCAGAGGAAAGAGAAATGTGTAAGAATGGTTGTGAGCCACAAATTCTTTGCCAAAAAAGGAAAAAAGAGATAAATTTGGGACGGACCGAAAAGAAAAGAATGAAGATAATTCCGGGACGGAGGGAGTAAAAGAGTTTTGAATTTTTGTCACTTTTAGTGGTTCAAAACATTGTTTCAATAAGACTTTTTGTTCTGTAATAACCATTATAAGAGGATCACTTTCATATTATTCTTTGAAATTCTCACTTTTATTCCTCTAGCTTGTGCAAAAGTTACACAATATAGTCTTTCATTATTGACGTAATAATATTATTTCCTCTTATTTTGATAAATTTATAATTTAAAGATGAATTAAAAGGTGATTTTTTTAGTGATAAGTACTATTAATCTCTTTGTCACCGCAATGAGATACTAATAGTAAAAAGGTTTAAAATCATGTATCAACCATCATTAACACAATGGTCAAGAGCTAGCTGGAAGTGATAAAAATTTAACTTGTTTCTTTTCAAAGCGAAATGAAACAATTATTTTAACAGTTGAAAAAAGTTGGAAACTTGAAAAAACAATTTACAAGCAATTGCAATGTTTTTGATATGGAGGACTTACTTGCGATTTAAAGCAAAAAGCTATTTACAGGTGAAAGCTAAGTAAATAAAAGAAATTACTAGCTTCCAACATAGAGAATTACCAAAATTAATCAGTGCTTATACCGTGGAACCGGTATGAGCACCATGCACCATTTGTTATTTTTTATTTCTCCTTTTCTTAAAATTGTTAATAGTTTTTTTATTTTTGATCCGATTTTTATAAAATTTATATCAAAATTTTTTATTTTTAATGATCTTTCAAATGAGACCAATATTGCCTATGTAATTTTAATTTTTTATATTCATACATTTTTTGTAATATATTTTTATATGCATAAACTTTTTCTATAATATATTTTTTTATCACTTTTATATGTTTTTAGAGGTTTTTAAGATATTGAGTTTGTTTATTTTGCTTCTAGCTTGGAGTTACATTTGATAACATACGAATTTACATCATCTTATACTCCAGTTACAAGTTATTATGTGTGAGTTACATCTTGTTATGTGTGAGTTACATCTTATTGTACGCGAGTTACATATTAATATACGCGAGTTACATCTTAATGTATGTGAGTTACACCACGAAATAAACTCTCCTACATCGTTCATTTTTATCATTTGAAAAATAGTGTATGTATATGAAATACAATATACTCCCTCCGTCCCGAAAAATTAGTCCCACTTTGACTTGGATCGGAGTTTAAGAAAGTGGGAATAAAGTGGAAATGTATGGTTGTGGTTGAGTAAGAAAAAGGTAAATGAATGTTAGCCACACAAAACTTTCCAAAAAGGAAAATGGGAACAATTTTTTGGGACGGCCCAAAAAGGAAAATGGGACTTATTTTATGGGACGGAGGGAGTACTTATATTATGTGGATTAACAAAATTTTGTATTAAATTGGCAAAGAAAAAAATTAATTCAGTTATAATTGAATTAGTTCAAGATAAATATAAGTAAAAAATCACAAATAATTAGATACAACTCACACATAATTACATGTAACTCGCGCATAAAAGTATGTAACTCGTGTATAACAAGATGTAACTCACACATAACAAGATGTAACTCACACATAATTACATGTAACTCGCGCATAAAAGTATATAACTCGTGTAAAATAAGATGTAACTCACACATAACAAGATGTAACTCACACATAATAACTTGTAACTGGAGTATAAGATGATGTAACTTCGTATGTTATCAAATGTAACTCCAAGCTAGAAGCAAAATAAACAAACTCAATATCTTAAAACCTCTAAAAACATATAAAAGTGATAAAAAAATTATATTATAGAAAAAGTGTATGCATATAAAAATATATTACAAAAAATGTATGAATATAAAAAATTAAAATTACACAGGCAATATTGGTCTCATTTGAAAGATCATTAAAAATAAAAATATTTGATATAAATTTTATAAAAATCGGATCAAAAATAAAAAAATTATTAACAATTTTAAGAAAAGGAGAAATAAAAAATAACAAATGGTGCATGGTGCTCACACCGGTTCCACGGTATAAGCACTGATTAATTTTGGTAATTCTCTATGTTGGAAGCTAGTAATTTCTTTTATTTACTTAGCTTTAATCTTGAACGTATTTTGAGTATTTATTCCCTCCTTGCTCAAAATGGACAGATGCATCATGGTTACATCTTCATTGCCCTCTACTTCTTCAGTTTCTGGACTAGGATCTTCCTCTATGTCAATTGCATCTGATTCTTCCATCAATTTCAGCTTGTAATTTTTTAGCTTGCACACATGCTCCTTATTCCATTTATCCCCACATTTGAAACACAATCCACGCCTAATTATGTCCTCGAATTCAGCTTGAGATAACCGCGGTCCTTCTTTCCAATTTTTATTGGATCCCGTTGACCCTTCTGTTTTGTTATCAAGTCCTTTTACCAACAAAGGAACCTTAGTTGGAAAAACCCTCTTCTCGTGTTCAGTTGCTCCATAGTAAAATTTAGATGAATGGACCCCTTTGTCCTTCCATCCACGCTTATCAATCTCCCTATTCTTATCCTTCTTCCGTGCCATATACTTTTCTTCTACCAGCAAGGCCTTATCCACAAGATAAGTCAATCCCTTTCATTTGTATAGCTTCAATTCTACCTTCAGTCCATCCTTCAGCCCATTAAGAAATACCCCTTTCAAGACTTCTGGATCAGTGTTTCATAGATGTGCAACCACCAACTCAAACAGATCTTTGTACACCATTACTGACCCGGTGTGTTTAATGTTGAGCATTAAGCCAAAGGGATTCTGGACCAGGTCCGGTTGAAATCTACGAATCGGAGCCCCTTTGATGTTCTCCTAGGAATGATCAACGGTATTTTCATCCCACCACTGATACTAGTTGAGCGCCTTATCCACCATGGCTATCAGAACTTTTTCCACCTTATCTGCCTCATTCACCCGGTTCAACTTAAAATACCGTTCTACCTTGATATATTTTTTGTAATATATTTTCATATGCATACACTTTTTCTATAATATATTTTTTTTATCACTTTTATATGTTTTTAGAGGTTTTTAAAATATTGAGTTTGTTTATTTTGCTTCTAGCTTGGAGTTACATTTGATAACATACGAAGTTACATCATCTTATACTCCAGTTACAAGTTATTATGTGTGAGTTACATCTTATTTTACACGAGTTATATACTTTTATGCGCGAGTTACATTAATTATGTGTGAGTTACATCTTGTTATGTGTGAGTTACATCTTGTTATACACGAGTTACATACTTTTATGCGCGAGTTACATGTAATTATGTGTGAGTTGTATCTAATTATTTGTGATTTTTTACTTATATTTATCTTGAACTAATTCAATTATAACTGAATTAATTTTTTTTCTTTGCCAATTTAATACAAAATTTTGTTAATCCACATAATATAAGTACTCCCTCCGTCCCATAAAATAAGTCTCATTTTCCTTTTTGGGCCGTCCCAAAAAATTGTTCCCATTTCCCTTTTTGGAAAGTTTTGTGTGGCTAACATTCATTTACCTTTTTCTTACTCAACCACAACCATACATTTCCACTTTATTCCCACTTTCTTAAACTCCGATCCAAGTCAAAGTGGGACTAATTTTTCGGGACGGAGGGAGTATATTGTATTTCATATTCATACACTATTTTTCAAATGATAAAAATGAACGATGTAGGAGGGTTTATTTCGTGGTGTAACTCACATACATTAAGATGTAACTCGCGTATATTAATATGTAACTCGCGTACAATAAGATGTAACTCGCGCAGAAGAAGATGTAACTTCATGATATATTATCAAATGTAACTTCAAAATAATTTGTTAAAATTACATAAGCAATATTGGTCTCATTTGATAGATCATGAAAAATAAAAAAATTAGATATAAAATTTATAAAAATCGGATATCAAATAAAAAAGTTATTACAATTTTTAACAATAAAAGAAAATAAAAAATAATGGAATCAACCTGAAGCTGCGTCGTTTTGCAAATAATGGAATCATCCTCATGGTGCTCCGATTGCAGGGTATAAATTGCGAAAATTAATACTCTCAAATAATAACTCAAGATAAAAATGTTGCTAATTATTAGGTACATTTTATTTGAAACGAATTTTACTAAAAAGTTGATGCGGTAAATCAAACTATGAGGATAAGTTACTAATTGGGGAAAATGTTTTAAGACGGAAGGAGTAAATCATAAATTTGTGTTTTTAACAGTAAATTGAGGACTCATTAAAAAACAGTAAATTGAGGCCAAAACTGTTTGAGACCATTCAAATGGAATCGTGGCTAAATTTAAGGGTCAAAACATCATTTACGCATCAAATTTACACAAACAGGATCATGGTGGGTCTCGGAGATGGTGTTTTTCGTGTAAAAAATATTCATTTTTACTCACATTTTTAAATATTTTCTAATACAAAGTTGGTAATGGATACAAAATTTGATACTACCTCCGTTCCTATTAAAACTTCCAAATAGGTTTGACACAGAGTTTAAGATAGTGGGTATTGTGTGGTGGACAGTTATGCAGAGGAGAGAGAAATGTGTAAGAAATGTTGTGAACCACAATTTTTTTACTAAAAAAGGAAAGTGGAAGTTTTAATTGGAACGGATGAAAAAGGAAAGTTGGAAGTTTATTTAGGAATGGAGGGAGTACAAAATTTGGTGTTAAGTACCTTGTGACACTCTCAAGAAATATGTCACAAATTCAAATCTCATCCCAATTCCAAAATATTGGCCAGAACATATACTTTAATAGGTTATGGAAAAAGTTGGTAATTAACATTGAAAAATGTTATTGGACCTGTTTTTTTTAAAGTCTGTACATTTTGTTGTTATCAAGAATCATCTAAATAGAGAAATTTTTTTTGAAATTGTATGTCAATGTTTCTAATACAAATAAAATGTACCGTATAAAAATGAATTTAGCTCCTCTTCAGAAATTTCTAATAGGGGAGAGAGATAAAAGGATAATGGCTTTCTCCTGTAGGAAAAAAAATGTGTGAAGTTATGTTAGTGATTTGTAAAGAGAGATAGAGTGAATATGGGAAATGATGAGAACGAAATGAAGAGGAATATCACATAAAAACATGTACGTATATTAAGAATGTTTCTAGTTGAACAAGTTTTGGCCCTATTTTAAACTAGATTAAAGCAAATCTGACTATACTAGAATAGATTTTGACATTTGTAAAATAAATATAAAACAAACACCTACGTGGTCAGACAAGACTAGATCAGACCAGATTTAAACAGGTCGTATCATATTATATCAGACTCAAAGACATCATACAAGAATGGACCAACCTTAAACCAATCAAACCAAACGAGATCAAATCAAATTCAAAACTCCTTAAAACAACGTTCTTGGTACTTTAATTTCTTCACACTGGTTGTGTTTCGTTATTTTTCTTTTTCATATATCTATGTTCAAGTACTATGTATATATTTGGAGCTCAAATTCATTCACATTCTATCAAATTTTATATGAATTACATAATTTCAATTTTTTAATAATTATATTGTTTTCTGATTTCCAAGCATTTAGTAACACAAAAATTGTTCAGTAAATAAACCAAATGTCAACTCACGCAAGGCGGAGAAGGGAGACTTGTACTAAGAGAGTGTTTGCAAGAGATTAAAAAAAGTGTTTTTCAGCTTCTCGATATCAAAAAAGCTAAAGTGTGTTTTTAAATTACAACTTCTACTTAAACTAAACACCTAAAAGCAGCTTTTAGCTTGAGAGATGTTTTAAAGTGTTTGTCACTTTTTCTATTACACAAAAATCACTTATTTTATCAAACACTACCCAATTTTATTTTTTCATTAACACTTTTCTCTCAAACACTACTCATGTTTACTATTAAGCATTTTCTCTAAAATCACTTCAAAAATCACTTTTTTAAAGTACAATCAATTACAAACACTCCCTAAAACCTTTTTATTTTCTCTATATTTGTGTACGGGTACTTCTATTTTAAATGTTAAATTAGCATAGGGATGCCATAAGTTTAGTTTTGATCATTTAATGTAAATAGTGAGACATCTTTCTAAATATTTCACATTGTATCATATAATGATGGATGAGGGTTATAAAATAATGTCCTTACTTTTTTTATATAAAACTACAATGATTTTACATATAATTTAAAAATAAAAGGGAAAAAGTGCAAATAAGCTCTCGAACTAACCGAAAAGTACAAATCACCCCTTTTATAGGAGGCTCTATCCGTCCGTTGTCATTTGAGGCGGTTCCCACTGTAATTTTTTGATGAATTTTTTTTAGCATCTTCTTCATTAATTCTAGTTTACCCATATCAAATTCTAGCTAAAAAGTCAATCGGGAAGGCAGTCAAATGATTTTCTGAAATATATTGCGTTGTTTAACTGCGCGGTTATCTTCAAACACTTATTTGACTGCCTTCCCGATTGCATTTTTAGCTGAAATTTGGTATGGGTAAACTAGACTTAATGAAGAAGATGCTCAAAAAATAATCATCAAAAAATTCAACCGGGAACTGCCTCAAATGACGATGGCTGGACAGAGCCTCCTATAAAAGGGGTGATTTGCACTTTTCGGTTAGTTCGATGACTTATTTGCCCCTTTTCCCAAAATAAAATTACATATCTAACTAAACAATAGCATTTTATTTTTCACGTAAAGTGATTTTTTGCTAAATTTTTCATGCAATAATATCCCCTATAGAATTATAATACTACCTCCGTCCCTTAAAACTTTGCCAAAGTTGACCGACACGGAGAATAATAAAGTAAAAACTATATGGTTGAGATTTGTGCAGAGGAGAGAGAAATAACAGAAACCACAAAATAATTGATTAAAAGGGAAAGTGCCAAAGTTTTTTGGGACATCCCAAAAAGGAAAGATGACAAAGTTTCAAGGGACGGAGGGAGTATGCAAACTACGAAATGAATTCTATGAGTATACATTCATATGATTAAAATATATGAGACATCTCACGCCATCTAGAACTTTCCGAGATTAAATTATTTTAATCTCGGATCAAATTAATTCAAGCCAAATAGACTTGTGTTGATATAAAAAAAAATCAAATCAAACAAGAACATATGCTGGTATATAAGACTAAAAGTCATTCAATATAGAAGTTCGGCCTTTCGTTTAATAAGAGTAACTTGCTCGGATAAAAGATACTCCGTAAAAAATATAAATGCCACTCAACTCAGTTGTTATACCGTGGGAGCAGCCCACCGTGAGCATGCTGCTCCCACAGACAAAAATACGCGTGTTACTGTTCACGCGTGAACAGTAACTTATTTTTTGTTTTTCCAGTGTCCAGTAGCAGAGTAATGTAACTCGCGTGTAAAGAAATGTAACTCACGCTGGTCAGAAATGTAACTGCTGGCAAGTCCAAATGTAACTTGTCTAATACGAACTATAAGAAATAAAACATTGATTTCCTTGAAACAAGGAGTCTAATTGCTCAATTACTTTACGTAAATAGTGAATATGTTTTGTTTTTAATATTAAGACCATAAATAATTTTTTCCCTTAAAATCAGTTTTTTTTGCCAAAAAATCATTTTTTTGCAAAAAAATCATTTTTCCGCCATTTTTTTCCCTTGCAAAAAACTCGTTTTTTTGTTTCAATAGCATGCGTTTACTTAAATAGTGAATATGTTCTGCCAAAAAATATTTTTTTTTAAATCACTTTTTTGCTAAAGAAATCATTTTTTGCCTTGTTTGGCAAAAAATGATTTTTTGTTTCAATAGTAGAGCTTTATGTTGCGATGTAACTTATGTTATAGAAAATGTAACTCACGTTGATGAAAAATCTAACTTAGGTCAATGTAACTTGTTAAGGTAAGTCCAAATGTAACTCGTGTAAAGGAAGATGTAACTCACGCATAAAAAGATGTAACATGCGCATAAGAAGATGTAACTTCATATACTATCAAATGTAAACAATGAAAACATGAAGTCTAATTGCTTAAATTTTTTTAACGTAAATAGTTAGTATGTTTTGTTTTTTGTATTAAGGCCATAAAAATGTTTCAAAGAAAAATAATATTTTTTGCCACAAATATTAATTTTTTTTGCCGAAAAATCAATTTTTTCCAAAAAAAATCATTTTTGTTTGCAAAAAAAATTATTTTTTGGTTTCAATGGATGGATTTATTTCGTGATGTAACTCGTGTTATGAAAACATGTAACTCATGCTAAAAAATCTAAATTAGGTGTATGCAAAATATAGCTTGTTGAGACAAGTCTAAATGTAACTCGTGTATAAGAAGATGTAACTCATGGACAACAAGATGTAATTCGCCTATAAAAAGATGTAACTTCATATAATATCACATGTAATTCCATAAATTGGCTATAAACATAACTCACACATATGAAAAACGTAATATAATTCATGTTTTATGAAATTTAAATCGAAAAAACAAATTTTATGTCTTAAAAAAACTAAAAACATATCAAAGAGATAAGAAATATATTTTTTTATAAAGAGACAAAGAAATATATTATAGAAAAAAAATTATGAACATGAAGATAAAGAATTTTTTTAGATGAATTATTATGTATTGATAAAGAATAAAAAATAGATTCAATTGTAATTTAAGATGAAGATAAAGAAAGTAGGATTGCAATTAAATTTTTAGTATTTTAATTTGATGGAAAAAGAAAAGAATTGAACAAAAGAAAAAAAAAGAAAAGCAAAGGAAAAGGAAATAACAAAGTTGGAGACAAAGGAAGTGAGAAAAGGAAAGCAACGTAACTTTCCTGAGAGTGGGATCGGCACACCATGCGGAAGGTGGGCCGATCCCACGGTATAATTTGCGCACTCAACTTGAATAACTTGCTCCTTTTTTTGGCGAAAGAGGATAAATTATACTCCCTCTTTCCTCTATTGTTTCATTTTTTCATTTTTTAATGTCCCCCTAATAGTGTCTTGTATCATAGTTGGTAACATTTGTGTGAGTCTAATTCATTCATACTTTATTCTCATTTTACCAACTCATTATCAATCACACAATTCTACTTTTCTTAAAAACCACATCACTACCTTTCATCCCAATAATAAGGGGACAGAGGAGTATTAATGGAGAAAGAAAAGTATGAGATAGAAAACAAAAACAACAAGCAAAAAAAAGGATATACATTTTCCAAACAATTTTGCTATAGGTATCCCAATTATACCCCAAATTTTACCCCATATAAATATCCTCCCAAAAATTTACCCCACTCCCTCATCTCCCTTTCCCCTCATCTCCCTTTCCAAATCCTCCTCTTTTCCAGCCTCCCCCTTCCCCACGAAAAATCAAAATCCTCACAGACCTCACCCCTCGCGTCGCAGACCTCCCCAATCCTGTCATCTCCGGCCACAGGCCTCGCGAAGCAGCTTAAAGGCGACCTAGAAGCTTCCGCCGGATCTACATACGAGCTTCAGCGCAAGCTTGTTCGGACTGCTCTAGCAGAAGACAGCTTCGGCGGTGTCCAGTCATCTTTCTCCTACGTGTACCCTAACTCCGCCGTTTTTCAGGTTCGGTTAAATTGATATGCATATCATCTAAGTGTGCAAGTTTAGATGATATATCAGATCTATTTTTAACTGTGACTTTAGTGATGTGTCGTTGTTCCACAATTGCTTGATTAATATTATAAACAATTAGAAATTTAGGAATTAAAAGCTTCAAGTATTTATCCCTTCTTTGCATTATAGCTTCAAAACTAACAGTTTTGGAATGATTTGAGTTCTGTTCATTAATTATTACTCCTATTATGTTGATAATATACATTCATGAAACTTGACTTCTATTTCGTAGGATACTTGTTTTGCTAATCAAGAGTTATGGCACCTTTATGCATCATTTTTTCCTGTAGAAATTCAGAATGTTTTTCTAGGATTTTGCCTGCATTAAACAACTCACATTGTATTCAGATTCATGACCAAATTTTCTAGTTTTGCTTCATTTCTTTCAGGTGGTTATTGGCGGAGCTGTTGTTGCAACATGTTTTGGAGGTGGAGCATCTGCAGCCCCTGCTGGTGGTGCATTTGCAGCCCCTGTCTGTGAAAAGAAAAGAGTTGTCTGGCATTTCATATGATTTGTCTGTAATGTGAAATGAATTCTTTAAAATTGATTTGTAGTTGTCTGTATGTGAAAAGTGTTGTATGGCATTCCATTTGAGTTGTCTGTAATGTGAAAATAGTTGTCTGTCTGGTGAAATTGTGAAGTAGTTGTGTATATTTAGACGGCTCTGTGATGATATTGAGATGTCTGTCATGGTATTTTGAATATTATGTAATTGGTTTGAAGTGTCAATTTATTTTAAATTGTTGAAAATAGTTGTGTAGTTGTCAGTGAGGTAAAATTAGTTGTGTGGCAACCCATTTGAATGGTCTTCCACGTCGTTTGGAATTCTTTACAATTGGGTTGTAGTTTTATATTCAATATGTGTTTCCCGTTTCTCTAATTTTTATACTTTGCTATGAACTTTGAGTGACAGGACGTGATGCTTTCCAAGGGAAGTTTGGGACCTTTTAAGGCTATGATGATACTATCTGGTTTGCCAAACAATCAATCCAAGATTCTGAACATATATGGTTTCTGATTAATGATATGGAGTTGATGCGCCTATATCATTCTCCCTCTCAAGCATCTCAAGATTCATGCTTTTAATAGTTATGGTTTTATGCATGTAATTAGATTTGTGAACATTCACATGACCAATGTGGTGATAATGTATTTCATTTTAGTACGCTACAATTGATTTTAATGGGGTATGTAATAATATGTATATCTCCTTATGCTTTTTTCTCTCATTTGGAGTTGTCTGTCAATTTATTTTGAATTGTTTAAAATTGGTTTATAGTTGATGTGAAAGTAGTTGTCTGGCAAGACATTTGAGTTGTGTGTCAATGACTTTTAAATTGTTGATAATAGTTTTGTAGTTGTTTGTCAGGTAAACTTAGTTGTCTGGCAATCCATTTGAATTGTCTTGCACGTCGTTTGGAATAGACAAGCCTACTGAATGGTCCAGACATATTTTGTCTGTCTGTTTGGCATAGACAAGCCTACTGACCCAGACCACAAATGTCTAGCACAGACAACTATTTTGTTAATGTACAGATGAATTTGGTGAATACAAAACATGTATACTATTGTCTGGACATACAATGCATATATGATATATCTAGACAGACAATAGAGATAACCAGATAGACATTATTTTTATGCAGAGAGACAATAACTTTACACAAACAGACAATACAACGGATACCCAGATAGACAAGTCATTACAGACAACTCAAAACAAATACAGACAACTAACAAACAAATGACAGACAATTAAAAAATACGGAGTATTAAATTGGAAAAAATTACTATATCATATTAAATTGGAAATCCATAAAAATTTAACAATTTAAAATAAATTGACCGACAACTCAGATGTCTTGCCAGACGACTAGTTTGATATGACAGACAACTACAAACCAATTTTAAACAATTGGATTTAACGTGCCAGATAACACTTATATAGACAAATTTTGTCTAGCTGTAAGACAGAGAGTAGTTAATTGGCCCAAACTAATAATGTCTGGACCAAACAAAATTTTTCTGATTGTAAGACAGAGAGTGGTTAATTGGCCCAGACTACTAATGTCTGGCCCAGACAAAATCTGTTTGGCTGTAAGACATAGAGTAGTTAATTGGCCCAGACTTTAAGACAAAACCGCATTCACTTTAGGCTAGACAGACACTGCAGTTCTAAATTGTCTGTCCGCAAAACAAAATATAAACAATTGAAAAAAAAACAACATCTCTTCTCCAAGACTTCATATTAAATTGGAAATCCATAAAAATACTGGTTAAACACTCGGGTACAAAAATATGGGAAAAAAGTCTTGAATTTCAACAAAAAATCCATTGAGTAGTTTCTACAAACGTGTTATGGGCATAAAATGAACTAGAGAAATTACACTAAAACTTTAATTAATTAACACTTCAAAATCATTACAATGAAACAAACTAATCAATTATTCACTTTTATATCATACATAAATGGAGAAGTGCTTTTTTGAAAGCCTTTGTGATTTGTTATTCGGCAGACTTAGACTCCTTTAATTTCCTTGGACCAAGCACCAAAGCAAGCAAGCAGGGCATGGGAGACACGAAGTATTGCAAAAGAAGGAACAAGGGACGCCTCATTCCATTAAGCAAGAACCCAAGCTCCGAGATCCAACGGTAAACAGCTTCCCAAAAGAAAAACCGTTTGGAAGTCCGAGCACCTTTAGTACTGTACTCTACCCCCGAACTAGCGGCCTTCGCGCCAAGAAAGACCGCCCTTGTCCCTTTCCTTTCTCCATTCCGCCTCCTTCATGAGAGCTCTTAAAATGAAAAGAGGAGAAAAAATGGGGAAGGGGGTGAGAGAATGAAAGGGGCGGATAGGAGAAAGAAATGAGGGGTGTGGAATGAGAGATGTTTGAAAGGGGTAAAAAATGGTAAAAATAGGAAGACTTTTATATGGGGTATAAATTGGGGTAAACTTGGGGTACCTCTACCATTTTTTTTTTCCAAACTAGAGGCCAACCCAAAATGAGACTAAAGAGAACCTGCCTATAATTTCTGCTTAATCAAACCTGTTGAAATTCATACGTGATTGCGACCTCATCCTATACACACTCCTATAGTCCTATTTGAGATGATTGACTCGTTGTTCGTCCTATGCAAGGAATTTTTCTAGTAAAGATACATCAGACAATATCATTAGTCTTGATAGTCTTGAGGATCGAGGGGTTGTAAGATCCGAGCTTGAGTCTAAAAGCACAAGTATGAATTGAGTATAAAATTTGACATAGTAACGATGTGCTAAAACTAATATTTAATCAGGATCTTTCCAAAAGATGGAAGGTGATTATTTATAAAGAAAATATCTGGTATTTGGTAAACAAGTAAAATAGTTAGTCTAAAATAGCTACTTGTAAGGTTAATTGGTGAGAGAACCATTGATTGAATGATTGGTATGCATGATTGTCCTTTGTTAACATGACATTTGGATAAGTCACACATGTATAACAAATGTAGGCCGCTGTAACGGATGACGTCGGCCCTAGAGTCGGTTATTCTTTAGTGACGTAGTCCTTGACCTTTTTGGAGTATTTGGTGAAATGTCTAAGTCCACATATTCACACAGAGCACTGAGCTCGGCCTTGTGAATGTAATGAATAATGATACATTGCTCATATGTGAGGTTTAGGTGAGAGGTTATGAGGCTCGGCTTCTTCATGGTGGAGCTCAGTTCAGATGATTTTTAGCTCATGAGTGTCGGTGTCTAACTCGGATAATCATTGTTCCGGCCTTGGGTCGAATGTCCAAGATCAATGAACTATCGCTTAGGCCAAGCTCAGACATTTGGCGCTGGATTCGGACTTGAGTTGAGTTGCTGGTCCGGAATCAACCTTGACTTCGGATCAATAGGTGAGCTAGGTCTCAACTCCATTTTTGAAATCATCTTGATGGTCTGAGAACTGGATCTTGGACTCGACCTCTGTGTGCTCAGCCTCAACCAGATGATAATGCCTTAGCTGTTTGAGGAGGTCCTTTAATATGGGCATTGTTTCGCAATCAGCTGTTAGCAGTTAGCGATAGCTGGTTATCATAGCGGTTTGATAATAGTTGGTTGTGTTAGCTTATTTGGTTGGCTGATTATGTTAGCTTATTGTCAAAATTGTTTGGTAAATTAATTGTTCCGAATTAGTTGTTTGAGTGTAAATAGTAGGGGTGGGCACGGTCTGGTCCGGTCCAATATTTTACCGAACCCGTACCCGGACCGTTACTATTGAAACGGTTCAGTTCGGTACGGTTCCATTTTCAAACGGTCCGGTACCATGTCATACCAATACCAAACAATGTCACTTTTTTCGACAAATTAAAACTTAGTCATCATCCAAAAAGTCACACAATTATCAATTTTCATATTACATAGTTAATGAATTTCATATAAACTATAATAGTACCAAACATAAATAACAAAATGTTCATGACCACCACTCTCTAAGCACCATTGGCTTCTCCGGACCTTAGCAGATGATATCCAAAGCTTCACTTCCTACTCAAACACACATAATCAGTGCATTTTTACCAAACAGAAGCATTGATTTCATTTGCCACTTTATTTAAAATATGGTCTACAAGAGCTTATTCATTACCTTCATACACATTGGGTCTCCTGGAAATACATGCACCACAATGTTTTAAAAAAGAGCACATAGCAAAGTGCAAATGAGTAATCAAAGTAATGATAATATGGTATACATGTATATATAATTATAAAATTATATAAATTAATAAAATTATAATTCGGTCCGGTACCGGTTCTCATTTTATGAGAACCGATCATGGCATGGTTTAGATTCGGTCTGGTCCGATTCAGGACAAAATTTGGTACCATACTGGTCCGGTTCGGTACCATGGCGGTTCAGTGATTTTGCCCACCCATAGTAAAAAGATGTAAAAGGACATTTTTAACTATGCTAATAAAACAATTTTACCTACAATTAATACAAATCACTCGTATTTTAGAAAATTTAAAAAGTGATAAATACAAGAGATATTACATGAAATAGGACTAAAACAGTTTGAAAATTCCAAAATAGGACTGACGTATTTTTATTACCCAAAGAAAACTAATTACTGCTATGTTTTGGCAGTACCAGAATTCAAACATGTCAGTATTTTCTAAACATGGCAGTAATTAGTCCTATTTTGGGAATAAAAAACATGACAGTCCTATTTTGGAATTTTGAAACTGTTTTAGTCCTATTTAGGGAATTTTTCCTAAATAAAACTACACGACAAATAAAATAAAGTAAAATAAAATAAAATTTGTTGTGATTAAATCATTTTTTTTTGTCAGAACATTAATAACCTCTATTGAAATCACAATTGCAAATCTCGATATAGCCTTAGTACATACGGAGTGCAATTTACATTAGCTACACGTACAAGCCAGTTTCTGATGCAGCGAATCTAATTTTCACAAAGGGTATATCGAATCACTTATAGGTTGATGGAACAGCCAGAGTTGTAGGATGTCCGCCTTCAAAAGCATTTTGTTGAAATCCATGGTGGGAACCGGGAGTTAGAATACATACCTCCATACTTGGTCCAAAAGGTTGAATGCCCAACCCCAAGGCTCCCCCCATTCCGATCCGACAAGATGGTGGGGAGGTTAATCACGGTGACTCAGTCAGAAAAACGGTGATAGTCCTTATACACGTGCGCACCAGAGGTTCAGCCTTATTTCAGGTTTTGTAACCTCCACACGGCCGCTGCGGATTTCGAACCTTGGTCACTTGGTCCAATTTTCCCACCACTCAACCAATTGACCTACTCGTGCGGGTACATACCTCCAAACTTTTAGATAGACAAAGAATACAAATTTTGATTGAGAATTTGGAGAAGCCGATGAAAGAATTTCTTTAGGAGAAGACACCGATGCTAAACTTTGGGGTAGACAACGTTTCAAATTTCGGCTTATTGGATCCAATAATCTAAATCAACCATTCATTACCAAACATTAATATTGGCGGTTTACAAAGTCAAAATTATTAATTGTGGTCAAAGAAGCCAAAAATTGGTGCCATTTATCAAACAAGGCCATTCAGTTGTGATTCTGGGGCTGTATGGTAGTGCATTCCATCAAGTCTAAGCCAACTAGACTAAGAGCCCATTTGGTAGCACGAAAATCACCTGATTTGGTTGATTCTGCTGAAATTTAT